TGCCTAAAGAATCAACAACATAATGAGGAAGCAAAGAGTCTGCAAGTTGTATGAACTCAGCAAAGTCCTATGCTGTCTAGTGGATGACTCGTCCTTGCCAACTGAGAATCTGTCTCCATGGGTACCTTGCCCTAAGGAAACACATTAGACAGGTAGTAATATGTGACCCGAGACTAGGCTGCATTCTCCTGACACCTATCCTTATTGTTTGAAAAAAAGAAAAAGACAAAAGAAGACTGTTACACGAATCTTAAAAGGTCTTATTAATAAAAACAAACCTGGAGCCAGGTACTGGCTTAAAGCCACAGCCACCTCACCTTGTCAATTCCTCAGCTGATCCTGTTTCTTCAGACTAGATGCCTCTCAGCTGAACTGTGCTGCTCAAAAGCCTAAAAACTTAACCAGGCTCTAGTTCCTCTTCCTCACACCTTAAATACCTTTCTGCTTCTTGCCATCACTGCCTGAGATTAAAGGTGTGAGTCACCATGCTTGGCTGTTTCCTGTGTGGCCTTGAATTCACAGAGATCCAGGCAGATCTCTGCTTCTGGAATGGTAGGATTAAAGGCATGTGCTACCACTGTCTAACCTCTATGTTTAATATTGTGGCTGTTCTATTCTCTGACCCTAGATATGTTTATTAGAGTGCACAATATTTGGGGGAACAAAATACCATCACAGAAGACATAGACAAAAGGTAGATTATTGAATCTACTTTTAGAAAGCAACTACTAGTTTTAAATATTTTACATTGGATTGGATTTTGTATATTGTATACAAATTATGTGTATTGATACCAATTTGAGATTGATTTTGTTAGAATATATTGTATATATATTTCTAATCCTGTTCAAGGTTTTGTATCTATACAGTTCATTTGATGATGTAATGCAATTTGCTAGTCCTTGAAAGTTATTTTTTACCAACTAATTAGGATATAAAGAAATAAAAGTTAGTAGTTAGTCATTACAATCAAACTTGTAGTCATCTTAGGTATGTTTTTAAGGTCAAGCAGAAATATATTTTAGATAGACAGGTTATCTTCAAATACTTCAGAAATCTACAGAATACGACATTTAAAATGTTTTAATAATAAAGAGGTTTTTTTTCTTTTTTTATGACTATGAGACATGTCTGCTCCTGGTAGCACCAATCTACTTCAGAGAAGATGGGCACTGAAGACTCTCCATATGGAGTTTATTTCACTGTGACAAAAGTTAGCCACTGGGCAAGAAAGTACTCTTGCATCGACTGCTGACAGTATGATGTACAAAATGGACATGCAGGACACAAAACAAAGGACTGCCGATCCTTGCCAAGACAAGGTAGGAAGGCTCTTTAGAAAATTTTACTTCACAGATGAGTCTGTCAGATATGCTAAAGGCTGAAGATGATGCCCCAACATTGCAGAGAAACCTCAGGTGACTGCCCAGGCAACAGGTTGTTTCCGTCATAACTCACGTTTTTTGGAAGTCACTTGTTTGCACTTCCTGTTTTACTAGGTAATATTATTTCCTTCTTGGGTCTCTGAGGGAGTTGATGATTAGATAGCTATAGTTACAGTTTTCCTTGTCAAGAAGTTCAGAAAAGAAACTCACTGAAGAGTTGTAAAGTGTATGAATTTGAAAGACATCTAAAGATAGTTTTCATTATGTAAATTAGGATAGAAGGTAAATTAGTTACAATCCTTTATAGGATAGATAATGGAATATTTTCTCTGAACTTGTCAAATGCAAATGGACTAGATGTTGTTGATATATTTATTACTTGTATATATTGTACTTAGTTATTGTGCTTACTGTATACAGCTTTTTTATATTAGTTATATTTCTTTATTATTTTAGACAAAAAGGGAGAAATGTGGTGATGTATTGTGTCCCCAAATACTATGCACCTAATAAAGTTTATCTGAGGATCAGAGGAAAAAGCCAGATGCTATATTAAACATAGAAGTCAGGCAATGGTAGCACACACCTTTAATCCTAGCATTAGAAGGAGAGAGAGATCCATCAGGATCTCTGTGAGTTAAAAGCCACACTGGGGAACAGAACCAAACATAGTGATACACTCCTTTAATCCCAACACTAACCATAGAGGTCTGGAGGTCTGTACAGACAGACAGGAAGTGATGTAGCTGGGTGAAGAGAGGAAATGAGATGGTAGAACAGAAAAGGTATATAGGTGTGAGTATACAAGAAGTAGGTGTCTTTGGAGACTTAGGTGTCGGTAAGGTGAGGTTGTTTGTGGCTTTTCCTATTCCTCTGATCTCTCAAGTTTTTACCCCATTATCTAGCTCTGGGTTTTTTTTATTAATAAGATCTTTTAGGATTTATGTTACAGTATACCTAAGTCTCTCTTTATGGAACCTGAGATGCATCAGTTCCCAATGAATTTTAGAGGAAAATATTGGAGAAAAATGGGGTTTCTGGGATGATTACATCTGTCACATGTGTTACTGAGAAAGTGAAACTAAAAGCTACCAAGAGAATTATCAACATTATGAGAGGGAAGAGAGCATGCAAGCTGCATGGTCACAGCAGTATTCTACACTGTTCCATGGTCCACTGGTTCTTGTGGAGTGAGAGACTTATTTCCACAGGCCTTGCCTCAGGGAGACACTGGGCAAGTAAGTATTCATTCATATGCTGATCCTAGGGCTCCAGACAGGATTCCCTAAGAACAAAGATTGATAAACTAAGGCTTGGTAAAGTTTATCAACTAACTTCTGTTTGGGTGTGAATTTCCAATTACTATGTAGTAAGTGTTCAGATTGATAGGATTCACTAAATTTCTTTCACATTTGCATTCATTATTTAATTATCAAATCAATGCCTATAAATACACTGTACATTTCAAAATAACTAGTAGAAAGGATTTTAAATGTTTTATATTTTTGTCAAAAGAGTGATAATGTTTGAAGAGAGGGAAACAATCTCCTTTTCTATAAATCCAAGATTACACATCTTATAAAAAAATTGAAATCTAACTTTGATCCAAAATTATATGTTCTTTTCCCAACATCATTCTACTTTAACAAGGAGTATAACGAAAAGCTAGCTTACAAATGCTATCCCAGGTACCGCTTCAGCAAGCTAATTAGCTCCTCACAGTGCTATATATGGAGCATAACAACTGAACTTTGCCAACCAATTCTTCATGATGTTACTAATGTAACACAGATACAGATAGTTTTATATATATATATATATATATATATATATATATATATATATATATATATATATATATATAATGATTCAGGTATAGTTTAGACTTCAAATAAATAAATTTTGGTAGTGTGATTTTTTTATGCTCATCTTTCTTAAGTAACATGATAAATGTTGAACACTTAGCACAGTCCCTCATATTAGAAATAAATCTCACTTAGGCATATAAGCACAATAGAAGTGGAAATGAGTTTGTTTATTAATGTATTTGTGACTCATTCACTGCAAAACACATCCCTAATTTGCCACTATGCCAGATTAAAAACCATGCTAACAAAACTTTTAGTTATTCTATTTTTTAATAGATTGCAAGTAACAGCAAAACAGGTGTAAACCAGTTAAAGAAAATAGAATTAAATAATGAATAATATATTGTAAACACTATGACTCGTCAAGGAAAAAAAAGTAGTTATTCCTGCTATACAATTTTCTCAACCAATATTTTAAAGTTAATGTATATTAACTCTAGAAGAGGCAACAAAACCCTAGTAATCTAGTGTTAAGAAATTATTTAAAACATATACAATATTTAATGTGTATGGATGATGGTCATAATGTTCCCTTCAAAGCAAATTTGTTTTTCCATCTGAAACTTAGCTGCATGGTTATCTAAATCACCAAATTTCTTTCACTTTTTACACATCTCCAATGGGAAAGGACATGAGAAGTTTCCATAAATTTTATTAATTGTAGATAAAATATTTTATGAAAACAAATGTTTTTAAGATGAATTGTTGGTTATCTCTTACACTTGTGAATGAAAAAATAGTTAAGTGAGACATTTAAGACTTTTAAAAGACTTACAAATTCTTTCCCTTAGGTTTTCAAATGGAGAGAAAGAAATTGATATACATGTAATAATATAAGCTGCAGTCATTTTATTAGACAAGGTCTTATTATATAACTCTGGCTTTATGGAAACTTAATATGTAGACCAGGCTAGCCTCAAATTCACAGAAATTTACCTGCCTCTACCTTGCAGTGCTGGGATTGAAGATATGAGGCATTATACCCAGCTTACAGTAATTTTTTAAAGTCCATGTTCAGAACATTTACTACCATCATGGATTACGTTGAGCTGCACTTTCAGGGTCTGGCTCATAGATTTTTCTAAGGACACTTGGGTTGTTTCATACCTTTCAAAATTTGAGGTAATAATATATTTTGATGTTTAAATTAGTAAATAAATATATATTATAAAACTTCATAAAGCAACAGAATAAATTCACATAAACACACAGAATAAAATCTAGTTGGTGGAGAAAGATGTTGAGGGTTAGCTATAAACTCCGCACCTCACAAACTTCCAAAGAATATTGAGCTTCTCAGAATGTAGCTCCATTATATCTGCTCTTCCAACATTGTTATAGATAAAACATTGGTAATTTTTGCTGTTTTAGGGAAATCCAAAGCTCCCTATTCTTTTGGCTACATATTGCTGCACCCTCGGTGTGATTTACGAGAACTCTCAGCATTATTCTATAATCATGAGTTCAGAATCTCCTGTTTGACTGTGATTTGTGAGACTATTCTCCAAATTCCACATCTATTTTAAAAGTATAATCATAAGGAGATTACATTCACAATACATTTTCACAAAGACACATTCATGATTGAACTTTCAGAGTGGTTATAATTTAAGACTCATTCAAATTCTAGAATTGTTTGTAAAAATGTTGAAAGAATTATACAGTTTTAGGAAAGTTTAACATATCAAACTTATTTTTTTAAATATTTCATTGAATTTTGTCATACCAAAATACCGGTAGATAATTCCTTGTCAAAAGCATCCCACTTACCGTCTGCTTTATACATCAATGTGCTGCACGTTTGAAGGAAAATCATTTCACTCCAGCTCTCGACTCTGAATAATGGAGATAAGAAGACAATATGTACTTCTTATCTGTTCCACTCTGCTTTATGAGTAAGAAATTAGTTGATACTTGTAAGACATTTCGAAAGTTATATGATGTACAGTAATAAGTGCCAGTTGCTTATGATAAAATAAAATCATATAATTTTAATAGAAATATATGTCAAATATTTTATGAATTTTCAATGTCTACAGCTCTGAAGATGTTACTAAAAACACACTAATACCAGGAAATGATAGTAATATATTTGAAATTAAGGGGTTTACATTCCACAAATATATTAATCCATCATTGTCACTTTAGCTTGAATAACTTAAGTAATGTGGTTAACAGTGCAGATGTTACAGTAGCAAATATAAGAAGCAGATTAACTGTTATATATATTGTCTAAAGCAGTAAATAAAATTTTTGGTAAACTTGCCTACAACCTGAAAAAGTATAATAATTCAATAAATAATAACTTTTGGTTAATTGTAAATGACTTGACTGAGTTGACAAATATTATGAAACTGGCGATTTTGTAAAGTTGATGTTATTTTGTTTGTTAAAATCTCAATGGTACTTAGTATACTTAAGTTACTTTGGGATAGAATATTAGATAAAGAAAAAAATTTTTGAGGTGTTAAATACCTTAGATATTAAAATATATAATTTTATATTTATTTTTGTATTATATGTGGTGATTTTTAGAAATATCACATAAAATACATATGGCTATTCAATAATGAATCAGAACACTACTATTTCTTAACATACTATGTGCTACATATTTATTGTAGATATAGTAATGACCTTTAATGTTCCTCTTGGTGATAGAATTGCCACAGGTTAGTCAATATACATATATTAATATGCTTTCTAAGAAAATCAATTGCCACAATATAGCACCCATGGAATACTGGGTGCTCCTTGTCAATCATGCCTCATAAATGCCCTCCCTTTTTTGCTCTGGACCATATTTTTTTCTATCCATTATACCAATTCTCTAAGTGGCAATAGATACCTTCAAATATTAGAAATCCTGGAATGAGTAGTTTCATTTCCAAAATTAAAATACCCTTCTTCTGAAAGAGTGGTTCTCAACTTTCCTAATGCTGTGACCCTTTAATGCAATTTCTTGTGTTGTGGTGACCCCCAACCATAAAATTATTTTCATTGACACTTCATAACTGTAATTATGAAGCTCAAATATTCTGAATTACCTTTTATGGTATTAGTTTTTTAACTTGCATTTGTTGAATTCATAATTTGGATTTAATTATTTTGTGTATTCTACCTCTCTCTACCTTTCTTATTTCTTTAGACGATTAAAAAAGAAGTACAGCCAGCTCATAGTACATAGACGAAAATAAATTGTTGGTTATACAACAGATCATTAAGTATTGAAATGTTAATTACTTAACCAATGAAAAAGAAATGAAAGTGATCCAAATGAGACTGGGAAAGAAGCTGAATTAGGTATTTTATGAATGGTCCATCTTCCTTAGACCACAAGTACTCCATCTTGCCACTCAGAACACAGATTCAAACAGACACTTGACGAAACTGCTTATTACCAAATTAATTAGAAAAGCCTATGCACTTGAGCATTTGAGACCTCTAGCAAATTCCCATTTCTATTGCTTATTTCAACACAAGGATGTCAATATTTTTATTGTTATTGGAAATTAAAATATAATTATATTCCCTTCACTTTTTTCCCTCAAAATCCTCCAATGTGCCCACCACTTGATTTTCTTCAAATTCATGGCCTCTCACTTCTTTTCCTCTAATTGTTGTTACATATGTGTCTGTGTGGATGCATATGGTGTGTGTGTGTGTGTGTGTGTGTGTGTGTGTGTGTGTGTGTGTGCGTGCGCGCGCGCGCGCTGCGCGCACTTGCGCGTTCCTTAGTTGCCTGTAGTTCTTTGTCTATGAATGGGGCCCCATAAGAATATTCCCCCTTCCATTTTAGCATGTCTGTTGGTGTTGTCCTTTTTCGTGTCTTGTTTATTCAGCCAAGTTGTTGAGACTTCATGAGTACAGCTTCTCTGACATTTTGTTGTTCCTCTGACTCTGAAAATCATTCCATTCCTTCCATAGTGTTCGCTGAGCCCTAGGTGCAGGATTTGTGTTGTAGATAGACAGACCTGCTCTGTGGGAACCACAGGATCGCTTGTTCTCTGTTTGGGATCACTTGTGATTTTTTGTAGTGCCTGTTGTAAAGATAAAGTTCTTTCTTGAGGTACATTTATTTGTGAGTATAAGGATAAATATTTAGAATGCAGTTGTGAATTATGCTCAGTTCATAAAGTGGCAGTTGAAGCTTCTGCTAGCTAATTTTATGTCAACTGGACACAAGCTACAGTCATCAGTTAGGAGAGAGCTAAACTGAGAAAATGCCCCCTTAAGATGGGGCTTTAGACAAGCCTGTAGGGTACTTTAAAATTAGTGATTTAAAATTAGTGATTGATGTGGGAGGGTTCAGTCCATTGTAGATGGGATCACTGATAGGCTGGTGGTTTTGGATTCTAGCAAGCCATGAGGAGCAAGCCAGTAAGCAGCATTCCTCCATGGCCTCTGCATTAGCTCCTGGATCTAGATTCCTGACATGATTGAGTTCCTTTCCTGACTTCCTTCAATGACTGACTATGAAATTATAAACCAAATAAACCCTTTCCTCCACAACTTGCTTTTGGTTATGGTGTTTATCGTAACAATAATAACTCTAATCAAGACACAGTTCTCCCAAGAGATACATGACCTACCTAGCCCTAATTAGCTGGATACGTTTCCAGTACCAGGCATGGCTTTTTTTCCTCTTGCTAAGCAATGCTTGCATCCAACTAGAGAACTGTTGGTTACAACCAAGATGTACATGACAAAGAATTTTGAAACATTTTTTCCTTAGACATTTATAACCAAAGTAACTGATGCTAGGTTCAATGCATTATAGGAAAAAACATCTTAACCAATGTAAGAACTTTGCTGGAAATGACCACAGAGAAGCAGTAAGATTAAAACCATGCCAAGCATAAATTGGTTCCTCAGAAAACAGTAAGACAGATTAAAGACACTTGAGCGACAGGTACAATGACAAGCTCTACTGGATAGAACATTCTGGAAAGGAAGTAAAAACTAAATTAAAAGCAGCATACCTGTAAAATAGCACAATTCAAGATCCTTACTCAAAAATCTATTAACAAGGTTTAAGTTATAAGGCCTTTGATCCATGCTACAAAAGATAATATTCTTTGGTCTCTTATTTTCTTCCACTATGAATGATAAAGTTAAGGTTAAAAAAAACATGACAAATGGCCTATCAAGTTCTAACACTAACAGTAGTAAAGAAAGTATTAATGAGTTCACATATGTGCTTCTCTGCACTGTCCACTAACACAATAGAGTTCACTCTATAAGGGTGGCTTAATCAGAGTTTAGATATCTGACATCAAGAAGTTATGAGTAGCTGTAACAGAAACATTATGCCAGGGTTGATGGAGCACAAGTGCAATTTCAGAAGGCAGATTCAAGATCTCAAATAGTGAGTTCCAGACCACTGGTTATATGGTAAGACTCTGTCTTAAAACAAACAAACATACAGGTAGTGTTATATAGGCTTGATAAGATAATATTTATGTATTTAGGAATGTCTATAATATAAATATGTATGTAATAACAAAGAAAAAGAAGTCATTAATTTGCCAAAGAACAAGGGGGTATGGAAAGGATTGGAAGTAGGATAGGGAAGGAAGAAAATGATGTCATTGTAATTTCAAAAAAAATGAAAATTATTGTAAACAATCAAAAATTACCTAAAATGAAAAAAAAATGTTATGCATGAAATGGAAATTTCCAAGATTCTTTTTACTGTCTGCATTCCAATGCCATTTTTAAAGATTTTAACCAAAAATATCAGTCTTGCTTGTTGCAATTTTACTATACATTTTTGCAATTTATATATATTATTTCTCTTTATTTCTGTCCAAAGTAGTTGATCTCCTACCTATACTTGATGATATAAATTGTCTAAATTTAGGACTATGTCCTCTTGGGTCCTTGGTTTGTTTGGAACACTTCATTAGGAAAAACACAGGAATTGTCTATAATTATTCTCTATAAAGAGAAATAATGAAGCCCCATTAATTGTTTTCAGTTCTTTAAAGCATAATTCTAGAAACAAAAGGAAACATTTTCTACTTTGAGAATAATACAAGAATTCTCTTACCATAATTTGCTGAACATTAGCACAGTCTCTTATGTAAAAGCAGTGCATGCACGCATTTCTGTCTCCAATCCACACACACACTGCTCTTCATTCTGTTTTAATGGTGGCACTTTCCTGGGTTGTGATCATAGGAGAGGCCTCCTTGCATGGTCTCATAGATCTGTGGGGAGAGAGTACAGCAACATTGTACTCTGCCCATGAAACAGAAAACCAAACTGCTCCATGAGAAAGCAATACAATCAAAACAAGTATGTGATTCCTTAAAAAAGCAAAGCAGCAAGAAAAATATAAAGTACCTAGACTCAGATGAAATATACATATGCATGATAAAGATACTGAAAGCATACATACTAACAATAGTTTTAGCGAGAAGTTACCTATAGTCAGAGCTCAAGTGGTAGTAAAAAAGAAATGTTATAATGGGACAAAACAGTGTCAAACACTAAATGTACTGAAATAAATGGATGCCTACATTTGCTGTACCGTTTCCAACATCATGGCGTCTGCTAGCCCCTGGTGGTGAGAGCTTAACAGAGTTGCCTATGTGCTTCCATCAACTACAGTTATGAGAATGTGTACTTTATCCCTGTCCACTGGCATAGTCATCAGAATTATAAAATTTTAAGTTATTAATGTGCAATTTACCACTTACAAACTTTATGGTATTCCTCATATTATAATATGAGTTGCATAGACACATATTTGTATTAGCATCATTTATTTAGTGTTTAATACCAAGTTTGCTGGTATAATTGAGATTTTGACCTGTTTAAAGTCACCATATAACAGTGCACCTTATCTTTGAAAAGAGGATAGCAGTTAAGCTGCAAAGAGAAATTAGTTTTTATTGTTTCTTTTTATTTAATCTTCTCTTATACAATATATCCTGATAGTAAACTCCCCTCCCTCCATTCTTCCCAGTCCCCTTCTACCTCCCACTTTTCCCATAGATCCACTGCTCCTCCATTTCTCTTCAGAAATGACCTGGCCTCTTAGGGATATGAACCAAAAATGGCATGAAAAGGTGCAATAAAACTAGGCACAGACCCTCATATATAGGCTGGACTAGGCAACCTAGTAGGAAGAAAAGGGTCCCAAGAGCAGGCAAAGAGTCAGAGGCACTCCCCTTCCACTGTTATGAGTTCCACAAAAACCCCAAGATAAACAATCAGTGCAGGTATACAGAGGACCTAATATAGACCAATGCAGGCTCCATGATTGCCACTTCAGTCTCTGCAAGCCCCTTTAAGTCCCACTTAGTTGATTTTGTGGGCCCGTGTTCTCTTGATGTCCGCTAGTGTTCTATCTAGCTCCTACAATCCTTTCTACTCTTTTTCCTCAGCTTCCCTAAGGTCTACCTAATGTCAATTTTAAACTTAAAGATTTTTCAAGTGCCTACAGATTCAAAGCATACCTTAAATAAAGTGGGTTTTTTTTTGCTTGTTATATGCATTTGACGCTTAGAATTAACTTCTGTGTGTCAAGTGAATTTCTCTCGATTATTTCAGAGTTCTTACCTGGATCATTTCTTGGTTTGTTCTTTGAGAATAAACAGCTTTCTACTGTGAACTGAACAAAGTCAAATAAACCTGAGTCAGGAGAAAATTCTCAGTTAATCCTGTGGGTACCATTTCACAAGCAACTATTCATGTACAGTCATGTGAACATGTATTAAATTATAATGAGTTTTCAAAACAAATCAGTATTTCTCTAAATAGTAAATAGTCATTTAAAAGATTATTACATATTAATGAAATCTGTGAACTAGGAAATGCTTTCCCAAATGATATAGTCCTGAGATCCCTGAATCTCATGATATGTCTGTTAGATTATGAAAAGGGAGAGTGATCCTGAACTAAATAATGGTATCAATGGAGAAGAGGATGGAGGGCTGGAGAGATGGCTCAGCCGTTAAAGGCTAGGCTCACAACCAAAAATATAGGAGAAGAGGATGGAAACGTTCTGAGTACATTCAGATAGGCAAGCAGTAGGCTACGATCTATAACTGCAAAGGTTGTTAGGATGAAATGCCACACTAGAAAATAGGACTTTTTCATATATAGTAGATATCTAGTAGAGGACTTTTAACTAAGAGAACAAACAATATGATCAAAGAAATGTTTGTGTTTTAACATAGGGCATAGTCTATATTATATGGTGGATGCTGTGGCCTTTGCAGAGCAATTCTATATCCTGTTGAAATAGACTGGTACAGTATATCAGTGATGTAGATTTCGGTTAAACTATGATTCCTAAACTTAGTCTTAACCCACAAGTACTTCCAAATGTGACTATTTGGAGATAGAGTTGATATATAAATAGTCAGTTTAGGAACTTGAGTGATGGCTCAGTAGTAAAGAGTACCTACTGCTCTTACAGAGGATCCAACTTTTGTTTTCAGAACCCATGTTGGACTTCTCACAACCTATAAATACAGCTCTAGAGGATTCAAGACTCTCTTCTAGCCTCTGAGAACACTTACACACATGTAATATCCATATATAGAAAGAAACAAACACAATAAAAATGAAATAATTTTTAAATTAAAAATAAATTAATAATCAGCTTAAATAAAGTCATTAGGCTGATCATTAACATAGCATAATGATTTCTTTCTATAAAGGAAAATTAAGATGCGAAGAAACATCAAAAAGAAGCAATGCAGAGATATAGTATGAATAGGCACATCTAAAGCCACAGATGCCCTGAATGGACATCTCAATAACTTAGCCATAGACATGCTTTGATCTTGCATTTCTAGCCTATGGAGCTTTGAGCTAATAAATTAAATTGGCTTAAGCTAAACAATTAGTAACGTGGGATCTCTTATTTTCTAGCTTTGCAGGGAATTAAACTGATAAGGAAACTGTCAGGAAATGAGGGGATGCTGAGAGCATGGGCAGCACACAGATTTCCTTGACTTTGCAGAGCATCCTATGTGTTGTATGGACCTCAGATATCAATGCTTGGTCTCCTGATGGCCTTGTTCTCTAGGTTCAGGTGCATCCTCTCTACCTTTGAGTTGTTAGATGCAGAAGTGGCACCAGAGTGATTTTGGTGAGGTGCTAACATAGTTCTCAGTTACATATGATTTCTGAATCTTATATCTCATAAATGTTAAAGGTTCTGCTGAGAAGCTGAGTTTATAGTGAGCAAGATGCAGAGTGGATAGACAATTGCATGGGACAGAACCAGAAATGATACATTCCACTTCTTTTTGCATTCTCTTGTCTAGATCTATTCATGTGGACCATCTTAGCACAAGAACTACTGGCTCCCTATCCCAACTTTGTATCCAAGAAGAAAATGCATCCATGAGAACAGGTGAAATAGATGAGACATATCCATATAAGGAAAACTATAACTGTCAAAATGTACACAATATCAAATTGCACATTATAAAAATGTTTTACATCTAATTTATTTTTACTTGAACCATCTCAGGTTTAACCTACAGCACTGGTATGCTACACTTAAAAATGATAAATTATTTAATTGTAATGAGATAAACCACAAATTTCTGGTGTGTTTGAACAATAGAAAATATTATCTTAAAAAGAAGTCTATTGTGCATTCAACAAGCAGAGTAATTTGAAATAAATCACTATTTTTTGCATCAATTGGAACAAAGAAATCAGAACAATATTGAAAAAGAAAGCATCAGTATTCTATACTTGTCTTTAAAGCTGTTAAAAATAAAATGAAGACGAGATATGTGTGGTCCAGAGAGTAGGTACATGGGCTGGAGGTGCTGGAAACCCACTGACATTGAAGCAAAAAGAAATAGATCATTTAATCACTTTAGGAAAAACAAAAAAATATGTTTCTCTCTAACAAAATGAGTACATATTTTGTTAATCTTTGTATTAACCACTGTCAACAATGTCAATAAAAATATGTCAGTGGAATAATGATTTTACTTCTACTTGAATAAAAGATAAAGAAAATAATGCAAAAACCCAATTGAGTTTTATTCTGCAGTGGTGTCCATTTTACCATCAAAATGTGCATCTGACATAAATGACTTTTTCTTTTTCCAGACAGTGTGTATACATTAAAATACAGAATTTATTGGAGAGAAAATTTAAAATGTTTTATTTGGGAAAGAAGAATTTTAAGGCATTGTCTTCATAAGAAAGTAAACCGAATTGAAAATGAAACATTAGGGAGATGTAATTTTAGCTTGATCCATCTCAAGGGGCCTGCAAAGTTGGCCTTCTTTTATAATCCATTTTTAAGTGCTGATTAAATAGTTATATATTAAAATTTAAAACACTTTCTGTAATTTCTACTGAGAAAGCAGTACCATGTTTCATGGTGTAAAATAACCAACATAAATGCCCAACAGCCATTGCTACCCTTCATGTTGCAGAGGAACACAGCCTTTTGTTCTCAGGCCCATTACTATGAGTTGTTTATTTGCTTTTTATTGTTTTATGAAAATTAAAGTTGAGACTATGTAGCTCATGTTTAGCTAAGACATGACCTGGGTATTAGTAGATTTGGGAATATTTGGGGTCATATCAGTGGCAGAAGGGTACACATCTGTGTGTGCATACATTTAACAGAGAGCTATTATGTCCAGGTGTTTTACTTGTATCCAAGACAAGTAAAATTTGTTGTGCAGGAAAGTCAAAGACCTACAGTTTCAGAAAACATACTTTCTGAGAACTTTTTAAAGCAAGATAAAGATAAGAATTGATAAAGGCATATAATGGCTATCTTTCTTTCTGACATATATTCTTAGCTGAGAGGAGTGATAGTTGAACTGTGAAGATCCAGTGACAATGACTGAACCATCCCAAATGCCTTATTGGGGCTCAACACCACATAGAGGAAAAGGCTAATGTATCACAAATACAGATTCCTACAGGCTATCATTGTTGATGCATATTTTGAAATTTGCCTAAGATGCTCTACTATGCTCTCATCTAACCAGAGTGGAATTTATATAAAATGACTTGGAGCTAAATTTTTAGGAACTTGAATACTGACATTGCAGATTTTAATGTTTGACTTACAGCTGTCTTTCTGGCTTGCCTCATTTTTCTCTTATCACTCCCATGAGGTGCACCTAGTCAATATTAATACATAGAAGAACAACTGCAAATAGATTATAATTTGTTTGTTGTTTTTTTCGAGACAGGGTTTCTCTGTGTAGCTTTGTGCCTTTCCTGGAACTCACTCTGTAGACCAGGCTGGCCTCGAACTCATAGAGATCCCCCTGGCTCTGCCTCCCGAGTTCTGGGATTAAAGGTGTGCGCCACCACCGCCTGGCTAAAATTATAATTTTATGTTGCCTATTTTTAGGAGATTAAAAATTTCCACTTCAAATAAGAAAAACAAATTTCACCAGTTACTTTTTTGGAAAGCCTTTCTGTTGGAGATATAAGGATAAATATAAAAATAAGAAAATATGAGGATTATATTCTTTAGATAAACTTGAATTGTTGAAGATAATTATTGAGTGGTTCTGCTTTTAAGCTCTCAAATTCCTAAAGTGTTATTTATTCAATTTGAAGAATTCTAAAATCCTAAGTGCTCTGAATCTAACTTTTAAAATACCTTTTAGAATCTTATACAGATGAGACCACAGTGTATTTAACTTACTAAATCAGTAAGTACAAGAAAAGTCAAGTGTGGGAAAATAATTGTGTGGTAGGAGGTCAACTCACTTTTGAGAAACATTTACAATAATTACTATTATTTCAGAAAATTAACACAACCAAACTCATCTTATGAATATTATCAGCATCATCTCACAAATTTTGGACTTGTCTTCCCTCACTAGGTAATATTTTCAAAATTGCTTCTGTAGATAAAAATGATTTTGTGGATGGAAATTCCTAAACAGTTACTTCGAGGTATTGTCTCAAAATGTTTCTTAAACTGGCTTCAGAACCAGAAGTCAACTCCACTGCATATTACATATTCATTACTTTTCTCTTCCTATGACAAAACAGTGACTTATAGAAATAATTTATCGTGAATTAGAGTTCTAGGTGGAAGAGAGACCAACATGGAATGGAAGCAGGAAAGCAAGTAGCAGAAAAGAAGGCAGGAACAGGAAGCTGATAGATCACATCTTTGTACACAGCATGATAAAGAGATGGCAAACTGGAACTAAGACTGGGCTATTAATTCCCAAAGCCTACCTTCAGGGACAGGCTTCTTCCACCAAGAATGCACCTCATAAACATTTCCACACAGCACCACTAACTGGGATTCGAATCTCTGATCTTTGGAGGACATTTCTCATTTAAATGACTAAATTCCATTCCCTGACTCTAAAAAGATCATTGCCATATCATAACACAATATGTATTTAGTCCAATGCCAAGAATAGTCCCATAGTATTTAATATTTTTAACACTTTAAAAATCCAAAGTCTCACCAGAGACTCAAGGCAATCTTTTAATTGTAAACACCTGTAAAATTAAAAACAAATACATACCTCCAAGATTTTTTTCAATTTTTTTATTTTATTTTTTCAATTTTATAATTTGATTTAATTTTACATATCAGCCACTGATTCCCCTGTCCTCCCTCCTCCCGCCCCCCCGCCCTCCCCCAGCCCACCCCCTATTCCC